AGATGAGTATTTTCTTTAAGATAAAGGGCAGCGGCTGCCTCTTAAGTGTGTACGAGTGTGCTTTCTTTCACACACAGAGCACGGAGCTTCAACTTTCCTCTTAGACAGTGCCAGTCACAAAGGTCTTATGGTACAAACGAGGAATCGTTTAAACCAATGTGGATCAGTTTGAGTCCAGATGACCTGTGACCTTCACAGTCTCTTACTGGGGAAGAGGGAACGGATGGGTAGATGATATTGAAGTGTTCTTTGAGCTGCTGAGAGGAGTTCGACTTAAGACTGCAGTCAGATAATCTCTCCTCTCCTCCTCTTCCTCTGTTTTGTTCCTTACGCTTTGGTCCTCTCCCCTTTCTATTATCTCCTCTTTTTTCTCTCTTCTCTTCCCTTTTGCTTTCTCTTCTCCATATTCCTGTTCTCCACTATCCCTTTTTCCATTCTTCCATAACCATCTCAACTTTTCCTTTTGTGTATCAAGTCTTTTTCATTTCTAATTCTCTTCTATCTTGTTTTTATCTTTCTTTTCTTAGCATCTCCTTGTCTTCTTTCTCATTTTCTTCATTCTTATCTTCTATTTTTTGTTTTTTCCTCTCCTTCTTTCTGTTCTTATGTTCTTTGTCAAATCATCTCTAGAAAGGAGGACAAGAGGGGGAAATGTTTGTTTGTTCTCCTCTGCTTTTTTTTTTAAATGTCATTCTTTCTGTTTTCATGTTTTCCTGCCATTTTTACTTTTTTCTCTTATCTTCTCTTTAATTATTATTTTATTTATTTATTATTATTTTTTTTAGGCATGTCCAGTAGGGCTGTGTGATTAATTGAAATCGAATCGCAAACGCAATTTAAACGTTGCGATTAGCTAATCACAAGAGACTGTGATGTGAAATATATATATGTATTATTTAATTTTTCCTGCCTTTTCCCTCTTTGTGTGATAGTCTTACTAGCCAATTGAGTGAGCACACTTTTGTTCTGCCCAATTAGAATTGCACAACCAAATTATGCATGCCCACAATAAAAAATAAAAAAAACATACAGGAAAGCGCGGACAGTTGGGATAATGGTGTCTGCTGCTTCAGAATCATTTAAAGACAAATTAATATGAAAGAAAAACAGGACATCGGAATATGGGAATATTTTGGTTTCAAAGTCACAGACACCAAACAAAAACAGGTCATTTTTAAGAGCTTTTGCAGAATTGTTGCCACGGCTAGCAGGTTATTGACCTGAAGCTTGACTACAAAAATAAATTGCAAATCAAATTTAAAAGATATTTTTCCAAATCGCACAGCCCTAATCTTCCGATCATGTGAACGGAAATTGGGATCAATCACGCGGTTTCAGACTTTATCTCCCCAATCAGGACTCAAATGTATATAGCCACATAGTTACACCTCTTTCTTGACTACACGCAGAAAAAGCAACGCGTGCAGCATGACATCACTTTGTTGCTGAGACACTATTGGTTAAATTCCGGCAAAGTAGAGCATGGAAGCAGCTTAAAGGAGGAAAACATGAGTATGTCTGCGCTACTTCACAGAAGTGCTCTGTTTGTTAACAGAGTTGTTGGCTGTTAAAATAAGGTAAATTAAATAAAAATAAGGAACATCCTGGATATGTTTTTTTGCTCTTCTTTATTTATTTATTTTGATGTATTATAAAAATATTGAATCGGGTTTCACTATCGGTAGATACTTAAAATCAAATGACTCTGACTTGAAGGCAAAAAAAAACCCAATCTGGACATCCCTAGTTCTTTTTTGCTCTGCTCTTCTTTCTGTTCTCTTTTTATATCTCCTCTCCTCCTTTCTCATCGCCACTCTTTGGTTTTCTCTACTCCTACTAGCCATTTTTCTCCTCTTTATTTCTTATCATCTCCTCTTGTCTCTCTTCCATTATTCTGGTCTTCTCTCCAGATTTGTTCTCCTCCTTTTTCTACATTATCATTCCTGGTCTTCTCTCTGTTCTTTTGCTGTTCGCTCTTGCTTTCCTTCACACTCCTTTCTTATATCTTCCCATCTTCTCTTCTCCTTTACTCAGGTCTTGTCACCATTTTTCTGGTCCCTTCTGAATTCTGAAATTATTTTTCTTTGTTTATTTTGTTTTCTTTTTATAACCACCATTGTCTTTCTCCTATTTCTGCTTTCTGGATCTCTTTTTTCCTGAGTATCTCTTCAGTTCTTTGCTCTTTTGTTTTCATCTGGTTTCCTCTGCTGTATTCTTACTAATATCATTCGTTTTCCTCATTGCATTCTATCCCATTTTTCCATTCCTTTCTTGTTTTATTTCTTTCTAATATCCACACCTTTTTTTATTGATCTCCTACCTTCTCCATTTTGTTCATCTTTCTAGCTGGTCTCCTCCATGCTTTCTCCATCTGTCTCTACTCCTTCCTGGTGTCACCTACTTTCTATTCTCCTCGATTCAGTTCACTCCTCCTCCTTCCTGGTCTCTTCTTGACACCCTTCCTGTCTCCTTGCCTATTCTCTTCTCCTTCCTTGTCTTTTCTCTTCTCCTTCAGTCATGCCTCCTGTCTTCCCCTCCTTAATCGTCCCATTGTGTCCTCTCTCCTCTCTTCCTCCATCGTCTCAGCTCTTCTTCTCCATGTACGGCCACGGAGGGCAGAGGAGCTGACGTATGTGTCCTCTCTGCTCTCCCTAACATTGTTTATCATCCACCCAATCCAGCATGGAGCTGAATGTCTGATGAGGGAGAGAGAGAGGAGGATTGGTGTGCAGTAAATCAGTTAGTCTGTAAATGAGATGAGAGTGAAGGAGAAACAGTCTGAACTGAGGAGAGCATGAGGAGAATCTGGAACGTAGACTGACATTGAGATGATACAACACACACACATACTAAAAGATCCCTGATCTGAAGCGCACACTCAGATGAATCGCTTTGAAGGAGCTTTGTTTGAAATTCCTTTCTTCTTTAAACACACAGAGAGAGATATGGCACAAACATGCACACAGTATTCCGGCTCCTTGCGTTCACTGCACACTGATAATATGTGGCTGATTATAGCGTTTTGCTCGAAGACCCCCGCTAATCTCTTTTGGTCTTGTTCTCTCTCATCCTTTATTCTCTCACTGTCCTCGTTCAGGCTTTAAGACTCCGCCGTGCCACAAAAGGATTATCGCTCCTTCTCCAAACAGGAAATGCATGCACGAAGAGTCCTCGTGACTCAAACCACTGGTTCTTAAAGCATCTCTGCGTACTTGGGAGATCACTTTTTGAGTAGTTCAGTCATGACTGTATCTTTTTTTTTTTTTTTGCAAGTCATTGTTCTCAGTCTAACTTTTCTTCCTACAGCAAAAGTTGTTTTTTTCTTTCTGTTTTTGATGTTATGTTTAGGCTTACAGGGATAGTTCACCAAAAATCAATATTTAGTCTCTCTCATTTTCTTCTAGACCTGGCTTTCTTTTTAGAACATAAAAGAAAAGTTTGTGAAATGTCTGTTTTTTTTTTTTTTTTTTTTTTTAAATAAACTATTTCTTTAACCCTTTTGTTGAAAGAGTGTTAGCTGACCCAGACGAGATGCGTGGATCTTTACCTTAATCTAAAGGGACTTTTGTCTTGTTTTCCTACAAAATATCTACTTTGTTCATTTATGATAATATGAGAGAGGGTTGGGTTTCGGCCTTCCGAAAACAATAAAACCCTGTTGACTTATTTGTATCTTTTTCTTGTACTTTTATCGTATTTGTCTTTGCTTATAGATTGTTTATTATATTTTATGCAAATGCACACTTTTACAGAATCATCCCAATCAATCTGAAATTATACATTTATTTCAAATAGATCTATTCAAGTCATCTGATAAAATTGTATTCATATTGCAATATATATTGCAGAATAAATATATTGCAATGTTAGATTATTATGTTAGATTATAATATCGTGCAGCCCCATTGGAGATCCTCAGTAATCTCTTTGTGTTTTTCTTTCTTTCCAGTTTTTTTTTACAAGCATGTGTTAAGAAAAAGACTTAAAATAATTTTATCCTGCTTATGTATGGAATAACTTTCTCTCAAGAAGCTCTGTAATAATATAGTTTTGTAATATAGATGCTTTGGTACTTCCTTTGCTGAGAGTCCAGAAGCATTTATTGCATGATGAAGCTCATTAGAATGCAGTCAGAGTGATTGTTTAATTCAAGTCCTGAAAGAACTGTGTAGTTGCAAATGTTATATTAATTGTATACATTATTTCAACAAATTGGATATTGAGTGAGCTACATTTTAAAGACTATGATGTCTGTTTTTTCTTTTCCCTCAAAAAATATGTCCAAACATTTGTGCATCTCCGGGGAACGCTGCGTTTTTCTCTGAAGCATTTTCTTTGAATCATTTTAGTCACTGATTTAAAGATCCATTCATAAAAACAGTGACTTGCTTTCTTTTTAAATTAAACAAATGTTTTGATTTAATAACCATTTAACAAAGTTAATATTGGGTGAGTTACATTGTAGACATAATACAGTTGTCATTTGTCAATGATTTAATTATCCATTCATAAAGACAGTAACTTTCTTTGTTTCTATATGAAGCAGGCGTTTAAATGAATCATTTGAATTGGATGAATCACACATCAAAGCATGAACTTATTGTTTAAAAAACAATCTCAATACACACACCCATAGTACGTAGGCTTTATGCACAGATGGAGTGACTTTCTAGAACCATTTCATACATTAATTTAAATTGACATTCAGTTTTCTTGTCTGTCTACCAAAAAAGATCATAGAGGCTCTTTTTTTATAAAGCCGTTTGAATGGCATTTCTATGTCCTTTCCAAAGATCCAAGCTATTTAAATCCTTTGGGCCAATGATTCTCCTAAAAACATCTGCATTAAAAACATTATTAACCTTGACAGGCTCAATGTGTGTACACGTACATGTGGATTGTCCCTTGTGTCCTTCTGTCATTTAACAGAAGTAATCGACTTTGTCTTTTATAAGCGTCCTGCCTTCATACATAATTTTTTCTCTCTCTGTCTCCTGCAGTTTTGGACATGGCACGTCACGTCCCCCTGTATCGTGCTCTTTTGGAGCTGCTAAGGGCCATTTCTACATGCACCAGCTTGGTTCCTCTGCTCCTGCCACTCTCTGGAGATGCTGCGGAGGAAGAGGAAGATGAGGAACGCATCGAGTGTCAGACCTCAGTTGGCATGTTACTGGCTAAGATGAAGACCTGCGTGGACACCTACACTAACCGCTTGAGGTAAGCTCTTCCTGAGACACAGTGAATGTTGATGGATGGATGGTCCACCCTAAAATGCTCCCGCTCTCTGACCTGCACAGAAAAAGCACGAGAGCTAACCTGATGCTGTAGCCACAAGTCAAAAGCTCTGTTTCAGCAGAGGAGTAATGCGGAGTGATAAATGAGTGCAAGATCAGTCAGTGCTCGTCTACTAGCCCCGAATAGCCTCTAATCCCCAGTAGCCTTCACACTGGCCTGAGCTTCTTCTGCCGTATCACACTTGTCCATTATTCTGCTTTGCTGCTTTACTCTTTCCATGTAGTTTTTACTATAGTGGTTCAGGTTTGTTTTTGTTTTTTCACACCGGTATATTCCAAGGTTATTATAGTTAAAGAAAATGAACAAGTAAACAAAAACTAGAACTGAAAAAATATTATCCTTAACTGAAATTAAAAAAACAAACGAGTTTTTAAAAAGAACTAGAATTAACTGAAACTGTATTGTGTACATACAAAACTAACTAAAATGATAGCAAAAACATCCTTCATTTTTGTCTTTGTAAATGTATTTAATACATAAGTCTTTTAGAAGTAAATCTATTTACTTTGCGATGCCAGTTTTTCACCAGGTGTTTGACCTTTAGGGCACATCAGAGTCTGTAATCCTGCTGCCATTGGACAGATAAAGCCTGTACTCCTCCAGTAAGTCCTTGCTGTTGCTCCTGTGACAAAAACAATGACTAGACATGACAGCAGCACAGTGACAGCAATAAAAACAACCCGAGCAGACACATAGAAGTATTAATTTAACACGTTTGTATCCAATAATGGGTTTTATTTCGGTATTAGCGAACATATCATTCTTATTAACTAGTTCACCAAATCAAATGAAATCTTTAAAATGATTTGCGTCTCCTGTAATCAGGGAAAGAAAACTAAAGCAGCGCATCCCTTTGCATGATCCCCCATTAATACAATAACTATTTAAGTAACCGCTCCATTAGAAAAAATCTTTAGTGTTAAGCCCTGTATAAGTCTAAAGTTTCATTCATAATGGTCTTAAAAGGGTCTTAAACAGTCTTAAATTTGATTTGAAGAAACCCTGAATAACTTATTTAAACTTAATGGATTTAAGCAGCTAATAATATTTTGTTAAATTATTTGCAATCATTTACATTAATTATATTAAAGTAATAATATATTGTTTTTTTTTTTTTAAATGCTGTTTAAATGTCAAAGTAAAGTTTATTCATTTATATAAAGATCACATTATTGTATTTTATAATTGCATACAGTTATAAGTGTAAAAAATTAATGTCAATATTTTATTAAAACACATACTATTTATATATTCTATTAAATCATATATTATTCTATTGTCCTAAAATGTTACTATTATTATTTCTAATTTATATTATTATATTATATTATATTATTAGATTAGATTAGATTAGATTAGATTAGATTAGATTAGATTAGATTAGATTAGATTAGATTAGATTAGATTCAAGGCTTAACATTAACACCCAGCAATTGCGGGTAGATTGCAGTTTAGACAGACACTCCCATTAGCCACTTTGGCTGGTTAAAAAATTATTTTTAAATTGTGTTTTCTTAAAAGCAAGGTTCAACAATAAAGATGGACAAAAGAAAGCAGGTGAACTCAAGTGCAAGGGTGATGTGATGTGCATGACTATGTAGAAAGCGCGCTTGGTCCCATTTACTTGCGGGAAGCAACCATGCCTAGAGAAAAACTGGTGTGATCGGTTTTCTTTGAAATAGACTGGACAAAAAAGCAAAGATGGTGCATCCACGGTTCTGCTGCTTTTAAGAGCACCAGAATTTTTTTAAATTAATTTTTAAGCAGCAGCGGTTGCTGCTTTTGCTTTAACCATTTTTTTTTAAATATTATTAACAGGCCTAACATTAACCGTGTGCGTGTGATCTTTCTTTCGTTATAACACACGGTTGGTTTTTTTACCTGCTTTCTTTTGCTTACAGTTATTTTTGTTATTATAGTTTAAATATATATATATATATTTTACAATAACATTGCTTTAATACAAGATAAATTCCCCATTTATGTGAAGTTTACTTCTTAGACTTAGGTCTATTAACTATTACTGTGCACATTTTAGATACATGATAATAGTTCTTTTTTTTTTTATTAAGAAAAGTTTTGTTGAATTAAAAAGTCAATGTATACTGGTTTGTTTTGTCACATTATTTAATATTTGTGGCTAAGAAATAATAATTTATTTATTTTTAGTGTAGTCGGAGTTAGACACAACCCATTTGCACATGCACATTGAGCAAGCTAATTTTCTCACACAAAAGGCACGTGGAGATAATACAAAATGTATATCAAGTCATTTTAGAATGTCAAAGTCAAATTTCTGCTTTTGAAATGTATTTTCCCAACAACAAAATTGTGGCTAGTGAAAATGGTGAGTGGCTAGTAATGTTGGAAATCTTCTAGCCACAGTGGCTGTTGATTAAAAAAGTTAATGTCAAGCCCTGATTATATTATATTATATTATGTTATATTATATTATATTATATTATATTATATTATATTATATTATATAATATTATGTTAAATTACTTTTATAACTTTTTTTTATCCTCTTCCAAGTAGACTTCAGAGGTTGATATGCAAAGTAGTGAGAGTTGATTTATCATCAGATTTATCACCTATTTCTCTATAATGGCTTGATCTTCATAGGTCGTGAGATGTTTATAGCCATAGCGTGTTAGTCTCAGAGGGGATGCGGACATGTCCATGAGGATACATGCACTAAATAAATGACAAGGCCATCATTCAGCCTCTTAATTACTGTCCTCTGCATCACATACAGGTAAAGGACATTCACAGTTCCCCTTCTCATTTATGTCTCTTTCATTTTCTCTCCTCATGCGTAATGAAAGCTGCATGTTGTGAGGGGCGTGTGTTAAGCCGGAGGACAGCTGGATGTTGTTTTTAATGGTTTACTTTGGGACAAGCCACAATCTGCTGCTCATTTGATGCATTCATTATGTACTAGCACCTCTCAGGACAAGCGGCGTGCGTGTTTGTTTTAGGCTTGGGGACGAAGGAGGTTGAGAAGCTCTTGAGGACATGCTGCTGTTTTTTGTTTCTTTGTTATTGTGGTGAATGTAAAACTATCACTGAATGTGTAACTCTTTTTAAGGGAGCTGTGATGTAATTTACAAGCAAATTAATACATTTGTAATCTAAACTCATTAATTATCTTCACAAATGTGACTCAAAAAAATTTTTTCCACCTTAGGTCAAAGAAAGACAAAAGTAAAGGGGTGATGAAGGCGGAAACATCAGACCCTGAACCAGAAGGTCTGACCCTTTTAGTTCCTGATATCCAGAAGACAGCAGAGATTGTTTATGCTGCCACAACAAACCTTCGGCAAGCCAACCATGGTGAGAACATCCACAACTGAGATCTGCTGTTTTCCAGAATGCTTCCATCATGCTATTAAATGCTTTGCAGATCTGTATTTTAATGAATTTCCAATTTTGGACATACTAGCTTTGTTTTATTATCCTCCTATTTGTATGCACATTTTGCACTTTTGCATAAAAGGCTTTGTGGAAACACCAAGATGAGCATACCTTTTTGAATATGCGCATAAACATATAAGCTCAACAAAGTTAAAATCTTGCACATGCATCAAAACAGTGATGTGATTTTGTTTAACAGACACATGTAGTGTATCAGGGTGTCCGCAGATCCTTAAAATGTCTTTAAAAAAATCGTCCATAGTATAAAAATATTTCGGAGGTCTTAAAATGCAATTGAACCGACCCCTTAAAGAACATATTGTTTCCGTTTTGAAATCTGCTTAACTCTCTTTGTTTGTCATCACACAGCATAAGTAGAACCAAAGTCCATTTATAGTCTTTATATAATAATGTTTTGAAATTTTTCACTCTTTATATTTGGTCTGCTGAAGATAAATATACCAAACTACTTTACGTTAAAATTGCCATGGGTAATTGCCTAATTCCTTTCATAATATAAAAAAATAAATAGCAAACATTACTTTGAATCTTATTAACTATGCAGTATAACTTTTTTATAATTATAACTTATTGTGATAAAAACATAATAACACAGTGGATTTCAATGCTAAATACACTAGTCAAGCAGAATCTGCCTTTGACTAGATTCACTCACCAAAGTCTCTACACTGTCCTCTTTGCACTGTATGTACATTTAAACGAAATCTGATTAATTTACACCATTTAAATTGAAACGTTTATCTTCAGATAGATTTTTTTGTAGCTGAACAATAAAATAAACAAATAAAAGGTTACATTAATTTTTAAATGACAATCTCTAAACCTTTCTCAGATGGGATGGTGGGCCAATTCAAAGGTTACCTTGGGCCAACTTTGGCCCACAGGCTTTAGTTTGTGCATCTCTGCTTTATATGTATAACTAGCAGTGTTAAGGATGATGGTCATTAGTTGTGCTGCATGCTTTTTTTGGTGAATATTCTGTACTATTAATTTGGTCTTAAATTTCATACTTTGTGGTATTAAAAAGGTCTTAAATATAACTCTTAGGAACCTGCAGATACTTTGATATATATACATCAATAGCAATCAGCTTTCATGTTGCTACTGGGGTACAAAGGGATAGCATAAATGGACAAACCAGCAGACAGACCACATTGCACAATATCTAAAATGTTGTTTTGGTCTTTCTAAAATACTTTAGCTAAAGTAACTCATCAAATTGGTTTGAGATTATTACTTCTCAGAACTACATTTGGTAGCTGTGCTCCAAAGCAGTGGTCTGTTGCTTGCAAAACCCAATTACAACTGTGTTCATTATGTAATTATTACGCTGTAACAGTACACCAATACTACGGTTCGCTTTGGTTTACAGTATTTGAGCATGGTATAGTATGGTTTGGTTCAGTTTGATAAGGGGGTAGGGCTTGTTCTGTGGAACTCTAGATTGACATTTGACTTACTCTCTTACTGAATCAAGGTATGATCATTGATTCTGGTTTAATTTGCATCTTTGGATAGAAAAATGACTTATTTGTCAATATGACTCATTTCAACATTTTTGAAGGCATAAAAAAGTTATATTGAACAGAACTGACAAGACTTTGTTCTAAAAAATCTCCCTCAACAGAATTGGTACTTAAAAATGTCACAGCACTATTTATTATTGACAATAATAATAAATATTTATTGATCAAAAAGTAGCAGATTCCATTCCTATACCAAATTAAGATATTGAATGATTTCTTTATTATTAAGACTGCTGTAAACATCACATGAATACATTACAGTTGTATTTTGTGTCTTTTAAGACTACACTAAAGCTCTTTAAAAATCATTTATCCCCACAAAAACCCTCTGTAGAACAGCTGTTCATACCATCTATCTGTGAGGAGCATGATTTTTTCAGTTTTAAGGTCTTGAGCAGAAAGAAAAAAGCAGGATGTGTGTAGAGTGATGGTGTGTATTTCAGAGGCTAAAGACACACTTCTTACTTGTCTGATGGCCCCGGGGGACGTGCAGTGAGTGTTTACTCTGACAAAATAAGCCAAAGAGAAACGGCTCTTCACCAAAGAGCCTCGCCAGAGGCGCTGTAAAGCCTGGTCATTTTCTCAGAGGACTTTTTTGGAGTTTGGAGAGTCAGCTGTACTGGGCAGATTCATTTGTCAGACTAGACGTGATCTATGTGTTGCTAATTCTTTAAAGTGTTTAATTTGAACTAGAATTCCTTAGTTATGACCAGGGTAATTTTCAGACATGGAGGAGGATCAGCTTTAATCCCCCCTCAGAGAAACCTATGTGATCATGAGAATTCCCAATCCTAGGGTTTAAAGCTTTTGAGATGAATCACATCTGTTTATTAAATGACTTCAAATAGTTCTAGATTTTACCTGATAAAAAGTGCAATATTTGTTACATTTTTATTTTAAACATTTGTTGGCTGTACTCCCAAATAGTGGTGTCTCGCTTCCAAAATCCAATTATGACTGTGTTCATTGAGTACGTTTACATGGACACCAATAATCCGATTTTAATACGATTAAGACAGCAGGAGTCTGCCGTGTAAACAGCATTTTTTTTTAATTCGATAAAGGTCAAAAGATTAGTTTTTTTTTTTAGATTAAATTCAACTTTATTGTCATTACACATTTACAAGTAAAAGGCAACGAAATGCAGCAATATAATCAAACTAAACAGAAATCAGATTAAGACATGTGAAGTATTCCTATTTTAGTGGCGTTATTGAAGTGCAGTACAGACATGTAAACATCTTAAACTATTACCATCGAGTAGGATTTTCGCTGCATTTTGTGACAGGATATTCCATACACACATGGCTGCTTTACACTTATCGAGTCCGTAAAGGACCACAGACACACTGCGAAATGTTACTTTTTTTTTTTTTGGCACAATATCAAATTCCTTTAAAACAACACTTTCAGCAGTCCTTAATTTGTACTTGCATCCAGTACCTGCTTTTGTCAAAGGGGCATGAATAAAATGTTCCTGAATGAAAGTGAAAGTGCCAAACTGCAGTTAAAGCTGAAAAATTAAAAATGAAACACCCGAAATTACATGAAACTCCAGAGGAAATGTGGATAGCATAATGATGCATTGATGTTATCAATCTATGTACTAACATGTAAAACAGGATCATGAACAGAACATTCAAAAAGCAACTCATATATTAATTAAGGCAAATTATTTGATTCCTGATGTAAAGGTAGTCAGTGTGTAATTACATATGAAAAAAAATTTCACATTGGATTACAATCTTTTAAAGAAAACAAAGTGCACATTTTGGCAATTGACCAATACCTGAAAGTCTGAAATTTGATTTGTGCGTGCGTGTGTTTTCCCAAAAATTGCATTAACGCAAACGTTGAGTTTGTGCTGAAAAGTCTTCAATCACTGATAATCACTGTAACCTGCATGTGTCTTATGGGTTCCATATGTTAAAAAAACATACATGTAAAAGCAGAATTATTAGCCCCCCTGTATTTTTTTTTAAACCAAAATTCTCCTTAACAGGCAAAAAAAATTTGAACACATTTCTGAACTTTAATAACTAATTTCTAATAACTGGTTTCTTTTATCTTTGCCATGGGAGTACCTAATACTTTACTAGATGTTTTTAAGATACTAGCATTCAGCTTAAAGTGCAATTTAAAGTCATAACTAGGTTAATCAGGTTAACTAGGCAAGTTAGAGTATTTAGTAGGGCCAGACAGAATCTACAGACATTTTTTGCTATTTATGCTGAATTAAAAAAAAAAAAAAAATCTGGATTCATGCAGAATAATTTCAGGAGTATCATAACTTAAAACTTATAAAATAAAAAATAATACCTTTTTTAACCTTTATTTAATGTTTACAATGCAAATCCAATTAGATCCACTTATTTAGTAAACAAAGCAAATCTCTCACATAATATTTTAAAAACTATATTGTAAATAAATCAAATGAGCATTTTCATATTAGTCAATAATATTACTGAAATGAATATAAAAACTGAATAAATATAAATTTACTGTGGAAATCTGCAGATTCCGTGTTGGCGTAATTTCATTGTATAACAGGGGTTTATTCTGCAGACAGCCGAAAAAAAGTATTGCTGATAGGGCTATGTGATGTGGGCAAAAAATCATATCTCTGAATTTTTAGGAGGAATGACGGTATACAATATATATCTGGTATTTTCCCATAAATGGTGACTTGAGTCAAAGCCTTTATTAAAACTTTATTAAACTGTTTTTGAGCAAAATAAAATTCAAGCACAGGGGTTTTACTCCCTATTATTATCATCATTATAAGTTTCATTTTTATACTGTTATTTGTTGAAAGATCAGCTTACAGCGAGATATTAAAATAGAAAAAAGAAATGTTTGGTAGACAAATGCATGTTTTTTTATTGAACTTTTTTAGTTTTAATAATCGTTTAAACCACGAACCATTTGTACAATACGTACACACACAAATCAAATCACATCTTTCAGTTATGGAGGTTGGACGATTGGATTATACGATTGGAATTAAAGTCAATATGCACTAACAGACCAGAAGAGCTAAATGTGTTATAATGTAAATGTAACAAAGAGACCGTTGTGTAATAAATACTGAACTTATAATCAGTGAAAATTAGGAGGTTTTGCTTTCAAAATGCAATATAAATTCATCCCATTTTAGCTTTATTAATTTTTTTGAACACATTCATGTGCTGTTTGTCAATTTGACAAGGCTTCTATGTTCGTTCTTGCTGTCAATTTTGGAAGAAATTATCAATAAAAGGTTCATGTTAAACCGCTGTGACAGCTGCAGGCACGGTGTGACGCGCATTCACGCCAGGGGGAATCAGATTTGTTTGGGCAGTCAGATTTCGATACAACATAGGCACTGCATGTTCCTCCATGTCTCGTGTAGTGATGGTTCGTTCTTGAACGATTCGTTCATTATTAACAAATCTTTTGTGTGACTCAGCAAGTGAATCATTCATTTGTGTGGAGTGGAGCTTGCGTGCTATCTTGGAGGGGTCTTTTTCGCAAAGATTGAGCATGTGTGGCCTTAAACCATATCAATATGAAAGATATTGGATAATCCCGCATCGTGTTCGGGACTCATATCGATATATCACCAGAACTCGATATACCGCCCAGCCCTCTGGGCTTATTATAATATTGACCTTAAAATGTTTTTTTTTTTTTTTTTTTTTTTTTTCAAAACTGCTTTTATTCTTGCCGAAATAAAACAAAAAAGACTTTCTCCAGAAGAAAAAATATTATAGAAAATACTGTGAACATTTCCTTGCTCTGTTAAACATCATTTGGAAATATCGGAAAAAGGAAAGAATAGTCACAGGAGTGCTAACAATTTTGACTTCAACTGCATATTTTAAATGATCTACGATCTGAGGACACTAATACCAAACCTGACATGTGTCTGAGACATTTGTAACCCCTGAAACCCTTACTTGGTGTTAAACTCTGAAGAACCGTGCACACCTCTTTTCTACGGCAAAGATTGGAGCATTTAGGCCTTTGAACATTTGTACTGAAAAACCTTAGTGGTCATCAAGAGTTAAAGAGGTTTGGAATTATAACTTTGGAGACCCAGTACGAAAGTCCACATGCCAATCCCCTGGGTCTTTCAAGCTCTCGTTCTCTGCGTGATGAGTGAATGAAAGGGGCGTTAAACGTGGTAAGCCGGATCGATGCTGCTGTCACTATCCATAAGGAAAATCTATATGATAAGAGCAGTGAGACATTACACTCACCACCTCGTTTAACTGCTTAATTAGTACTTAGTCTTCCAAAAAAAAGAAAAAAGTACCGGAGAGACTGTGGAGTCATGGTTTCTGATTGGTCGAGAGTTATTTCCTGTAGTTTGGTATTGATATCACCATCAATATCATGCGCTAATGTGATGAGGTGACGGTAACTGGAGCAATCAGTGTTGGCGGGATTTTTATGCGGCTCGTATTCACAGCGTAGCCGTTATCAGCCCTGTTAAACGCCAAGGTAATTTGATTGGCTGTCATGATGCATGTCTGTGTGGGAAGGGACATATGTCTGCACCCACTGTGAAATGGGCGGAAATCCCATAAAACTCCTCTAAATATAGGAGGTTTAATTGTGTTGTTACACTAACGAGTCTGGTGTCTCGCTGGAGTTGTGATGGTCTGTCGCCATCATTAGTCTGATGCTCTTGATAACCATCAGAATTGGGGGAACAGAAATGCAGCAAATTGTTTGTGTAGCGACACTGAGTTTTGTTCTGCTTGTCATTTATCAAAGTAACATTTGAAAGTAAAGTGCGCGTATCAGTGTAAGCCTTTATTTATCAATCTCATGAATGTGGCTTACATATTGATGCAAGTGTTGAAGTCACAATTATTTGCCCTCCTGTAAATATTATTTTTTTCTTTTTCAAATATTTCCCAAATGATGTTCAGCAGAGCAATGCATTTTTACAGTATTTCCTATAATATTTTTTTCTTATGGAGGAAGTCTTATTTGTTTTATTTCCGCTAGAATAAAAGCTGTTTTTAATGAAACCATTTTAACGTCAATATAATTAGCCACCTTTAGCACTGTTTAACACTGTTATACAATGACCTGCTTACTTACCCTAACTAATTAAGTCTTTAAATGTCACTTACAATGTCAAAATACTAGTATCTTGAAAGATATCTAGTAAAATATTGTGAACTCTCATCATGGAAAAGTAAAAAAAAAATAGTTATAAGAAATGAGTTATTAAAACAGTTTTGTTTAGAAATGTGTTGAAAAAATATTTCCATTAAATAGAAATTGGGGCAAAATATACAGGGTAGCTAATAATTCTGACTTTTGTATCATTTTTATTCTTGTTTTTAAATATTTGTTCTATTTATTTAGTTAAAAATATTTTTTTATCTATACAAATAAAGAAAACAATAATAATTACACACAGAATAAGACAGTTTGTACATTGGCCTATCAAATTTAAGCTATATATTGTACACAGCAATAATGAATGTGTTATGCCATATACACACATCTCAGTGCGCATAAAATTATGCAACAAAAAAATTGAAATAAATAAAAAGTATCTATAACAGTACATGCAAATACTGTATAATTCAGTACAGCCCATTTTGAAAATTAATATTTTTCTATTTGTTATTGAATATAGGCAATGTATTTTGGTGTATTTAAACAAAACAGATTGTTTTGATATTTAATATTTAATATTCAGATATTTAATATTTTTCTTAAACTTTTTGTTTACTAGTTTTGAGCCGTTATCGTAAGTTAATTTGTTAGATAAGCTCCAGATTTGGCTTCAGTACTGACTTATCTAATGTATATGCACAAATATAATATTGTATAGCTTCCTATTAAAAATATGAATTAAAAAGACAGATTTGTGAGGGTTGTACTTGCTGAGCACTGTATATAAAAATAAAGCCAAATGAGTGAGGCGGTTGGGTTATTTTTGTGTCTTGTAAGGATGTGTTCTGAGATGAAAGGATTGAAGATGTGACATACTCGAACACATCCTACATCCAGGCTACTGTGAAACACACATGCACACACTCAGGATGTTTTTTGTTTGTGTGCTTCTGTCACGTTTCTCAGAGAGGAAGATGGCAGAGAGCTCAAAAAAGGCAGCAGCAAGGCCCAAACCACTGTCCATCCTGCGCTCAATGGAGGAGAAATATACTGCGGCTATGAAGAAACTACAATTTGGTGAGTCCTGAAATATGTCTTGGACTTGATGATCAGCCCATATGAGATTTTATAGCTTTAAAGCATAGATTAGTATTTATGCACTGAAAGAAGATTATATACTCAAGTTCGATGCTTTTAAAGATTTACTGTGAAATTTTCATAGTGTGTTTGTGTATAACATTTTGTATTTATTTTTGAAAATGCTATTGAATTTTTTATGGATATATATTTTATCTGTAATACATTGGTTAATTGGAATTTTAAATGCATTAATGTGGACCGATATTAAAAATTCAAATATTTACTTTTGTATTTTGTCAATTTAATAAAGTTTTAAATGTTTCTTTAAAACACTTAAACTGTTTGTCAACAGTTGATAGCAAGTATCAAAATGAATTTTTATATTCTTCATTATTTACAAATATATTACATATACAGTATGATTGTATTGAGGTCACTGATTCGAGTCTGAGTTGGGTCTGTTGGCATTTCTGTGTGGAGTTTGTTTGTTCTCCACATGTTGGTGTGGGTTTCCTCCAGGTGCTCCGGTTTCCCCCACCGTCCAAAGACATATGCTATAGGTTTTATAGGTATAGAATTGAATAAACTAAATTGGCCGTACTGTATGTGTGTATGGATATTTACCAGTACTGGGTTGCAGCTTGAAGGGTATCCGCTGTGTAAAACATATGCTGAATATGTTGGTAATTCATTCTGCTGTGGTGACACCTGATAAAATAAAAGTAATCATACTATCATAAGGAACATTATTATGGCATGATGGCTATTTCTCACAAATAATAATCTAAATATCAAAGATTTGTTGACCAAACAATTTGATAAGATTAAAAAAAAATGTTAGCCAGAATTTTTTATGGATTCACAATTTGCAAAAGCTTTATTTAAGCCTGATTTTATTTTATTTTATTTTTTCCCATCCAAACCCCTTTTGCGGCAATATGTTTACTGTACCTCCTGAGCTTTTGAATTAATATTTAACAATGCATTCATATGTTCATGATTATTTGATGTTGGTTAATGGACACATGACATGCAGGTAAACAAATATAGTGTTCTAAAATAAAATCTTTCTATTTTTTTAAGAGGTTATTTCATTCGATTAAATTATATATAGTAAATATCGTAATATTACATATAAAAACAGTTTTTTCCCTTTCAGCTTCTTTTATTTTTCTTATTTGCAAGAAAGAGTTGAAGTAGCAGCGTTTATATGAATTGAAATGTGGTGGATTTTGTTCTGTAGCTGCTAGAATGGCTTTTCTGCTTGTCGTTGCTCATCTGTCTTTGCTCTGATTGATGGCAAGAGTTTTGTTCTGCCAAAAATGATTTAGCCCGACCTCAGGCGAATGAGGTAATCTCAACTGACGTGACTGTAAACAGGTTTGCTCTGGCCCACACTGAACACACCCTTTAAAATACACAATACAGCTGTTTCTGGAGGAAGTTTGAAGACTTATTTCTGTTTGTTTGTTTACAGGATAATTACGCTTTATGACTCTAATAATCGAGGACAACACAAACGTTTAATACTCAAATACACTTCATTAAACATGCACACATAGACATCATCTATTTACTATATTACTGCAGGTCAACTATGTTTATATATAATAACTTTACCTGTTAAAAGCTATTAGTTACTATTTAATTATTTAATGCTAATGGTAACTAATAAATTATGGTAACTAATAATCTTAACTTTTAAAATTTGATTGTGATGCAATAATGTGCACCATTTGTAAAGCAATGATTATTGTGAAGAGCAATATACAAATAAACTTGGATTGAATTGACCGATGAACTGTTTATTTGTGGCTTTTCCCACAGACACGTTTGAGATGGTGTGTGAGGATGAGGACTCGAAACTGGTGTTTAAGGTGAACTACCATTACCTGTCTCAGGTGAAGAACGCAAGCGATGCTAACAGTGCCGCCCGAGCTCGACGATTAGCACAGGAGGCTGTCACTCTCTCCACATCCCTCCCGCTCTCCTCTTCCTCCAGCGTGTTTGTCCGCTGCGATGAAGAACGGCTCGACATCATGAAGGTATGACTAGATTTTTCCAAGCCGCCTTTTAACAAGATAAGCTCGATTATTTGTGGTTTGATTTAGGCAACATCAGTGTCTGAAGATGGAAAAGACCTTCATGCGGTCAAACTGTATTCAAGTACTATTAATAGCAAAGTCAATAACAAGCAAGTCAATAAAACTGATTGACATTTGCAAAATTGAAAATCGTTAAAGACGTGCAGTATTACACAAGTGCTCTTTTTTTTGTTTTAGAATGAGTGCAAATGTTAAATTGATTTTATGCAGCAGTTCAATAAGTTAATGTGTACACTACAAGTGTAGTTTACATAAGTATATAAATAACAACAATAAAACACTTATTTAAAAAAACAGTCAAAATCAAACAAATTGTGCTTCAGGGGTAATTAATATATCAGTGCTCTTTTGATAAGTGATTCATAAAGATAAACAACAAAATCATAGCCATAAGCATTTACCATTATAAACCATTAGCATTTATTAATATGGCTGTTGTTTTTTTCACTTCTCGAGTGCCTGGACTTATAATTTTGTTGTTTATTAACAAAAAGTAATTTTTTAAACATTTTTGCTTCGTTCATTTACGCTACCTGATAAAAGTCTTGTCATCGATCTCAATTGTCAGAGCAACAAATAATAATTTGACTTCTAGTTGATCATTTGGAAAAGTGGCAGACGGTAGATTTTTCTGATGAATCATGTTTAACTGAACCCCATTCATCACAAATACTGCATAAGACCTGTTGGAACACATATGGACCCAAGATTCTCACGTAAATCTGTCAAGTTTGGTGAAGAAAAAAAATCATGGTTTGGGGTTACATTCAGTATGGGGGTGTGCGAGAGATCTGCAGAGTAGATGGCAACATCAACAGCTTAAGATATCAAGACATTTGTGCTACCCATTACATTACAAACCACAGGAGAGGGCAAATTCTTTAACAGGATAGCACTCCCTCTTATACCTCAGTTCAAATTAAAGTTCCTGAAATCAAAGAAGATCAAGGTGCTCCAGGATTGGCCAGCCCAGTCACCAGATATAAATATTATTGAGCATGTCTGGGGTAAGGTAGAGGAGGCATTGAAGATGAATCCAAAGAATCTTGATGAACTTTGGGTGTCCTGCTAGAACGCTTACTTTGTCATTTCAGATTACTTAAATAATAAGTTATTTAAGTCATTGCAGAGATCAATGGATGCAGTCCTCCAAGCACATGGGAGTCATGCACAATGTTAATTCTTTTTCCACTGCACCATTACTTTATACTCTATATTGTACATTATTTCTGTTAAATGACAAGACTTTTGTCTAAGCAAAGTCAGACCTTACTATCTTAATTAAATAATACAAATATTTAAAATTATATTTAAAAAAATATCATATTTTATTTTGGTAAAACGAGCGTAATCTAGAGGCCTCTTCCTTTCTTATAAGCCACTTCTGATACCAAATGATCACAAGAAGTCAAGTTATTATTTGTTGTTCCTAACTTGGATACACGACAAGACTTTGGTCAGGTAGTGTAAAACAAGAATGCAATTTTCAATTAACAAGTGGACATGTGGCATTGATGTTTTATAACAGTTAAAAAAATAAAGTTAAAATATGCATATGAGAGCACGCTGTAACATTTTGAATACTGTTGTATATTAGAGATTTTACTATTTATTTTATTCAAATCAAATTAGCAGATCAAACATTGGGAATCGATTAATCAAACAAGGCTTTGTAGATAATTTGTATTAATATTTTTTAGGTAGTTAAAAATATATCATTTTTATAAAGATTCAAATGTCACACTTTACAATAAGCTTTTAATAGTTCATGTATTCATTAACGTTAATTATTTATGAATGATACTTGTACAGCATTTTATAATCATAGTTCAGCATTTACTAATGCATTGGTAACATCCAAATTCATACTTGGTAACATTAGTTAATGCACTGTGAGTTAACATGTACTAACACTAAACAGCTGTGTTTTTATTAAATAACATGAACATGATTACTGTAATAAATCTATTGTTCTTTGTTTATTCATGTTAGTAAATCCATTAACTAACATTAACTAATACAACCTTATTTTAAAGTGTTCCTGATTTAAATAGTGTATAAGTTAATGAAAGAAATCAGTTATCAATTGTAAATCTTTGTGTTAATTATCACGACTGACTAAAGTCTTGATGTTTACTGTGGGTCAGCATGAACCTTTGTTCTCTATATCATGACAAAACAATCCCAGCAAATCCCAGCAGCCACTTGCTGTCTTGTGGTCTCACACACATACACGCACACACGTGAATGCCCACACTTCTTCCTAATGACATTTGAGATGTGCTTTTGACCTGGGCTCTTCTCTGAGTGTGTAAATGTCAATGTGTGTGGCTTGAGCTTTATGTGTCAGTCTGGCCAGACCACAGGCAATCCCCGGTCCGACTGGTCACTCGCTGCTCTGTCTGCGAACACTGACCCCTAACAGCAGGCCTCCACACTTCATACAATCTTTATGGACATTTAATAGTAAACCGAGCTTCCTGAATTGAACCTACGCTGAGTGTGTGAGCACAGCTTTGTGTGTGTATGTGTGTGTGTTTAGTGTTGCGTTTGAATGGTCATGTCAAAACAGTGTTAACGCCTCAGTGCTGCTCTGCTGCCTGCAGTGGACAGAGATTCACTGGATGCTGTTACAGTCCTCAAATCTTCCTCGCTCTTGACTGCCAAACGTCTCTTTTAGTGTTGTTATGATATTGGAGTTTCCTTAAATATTCTAATAATACCTTAAAAGAAATTATAGTCTGTTTGATGTTCAGTACCACAGAGAAATATTGCCACTGCATTCATAAAAAGTACAATCTAAATTAATGACTTAATTTTTATATTTGCCATTTTTGAAACCTAAAGTGTTTCTTCTTGTTCAGATTTTCACTTGTCCTGCCAAATGTTCACTAGCCTAGCTTAAAAAAAAGAATAAGTAAATGTGTAACACAAAACAAAATAGTTGTTTTTGTTGTTATTCTTATAATATATTCTGCCATGTTATATATACATTTTGTCAATGTAGTTATTTTCAAGTTATACATTTCAGTTTTAGTATTAGAGAAAAAAACATTAGTGTTTTTTATTAGTGAAGTACCTATTCTTGCTCATTAGTTAGTAGTTTATTTATATAACACATTTTAGCCACAACTATTGACTAGTGGCTTATCACCTGCCTATTATTAAGACATTGGCTGTTTAAAAGTACTTGTATACACTCTCAGAAATAAAGGTACACAAGCTGTCACTGGGGTGATAACTTTTCAAAAGGTACACATTTGTACTTGAAGGTTCCATATTGGTACCTCAAAAGTATATATTAGTACCTACAAATTTTAAGAGGAACACTTTCGTAATTCTTAGGTACAAATATGTACCCTTGAGGTATTATTATGACTCTTTTTGGTACAAATTTGTACATTTTGGATAAGGTACCACCCCAGTGATAGCTTGCATACCTTTATTTCTGAGAGTGTAGTATGATCTTCATCCTACATCCTTAATCCTACCAAATACCAAAACCCAACTACTAACTTACTGTTGATAAACAGCTGATTTGTAGCTTATTGATCTGTGGCTCATTACTTGCCTATTATTAAGACATTGGCTGTTTATAAGTACTTGTATAGCATGATCTTACTCTACATCCCATGTAGAATAAGATCAACATAATAAATGTTAATTTAACAGCTGTTTTAAGATAAAGATAATAAGATAAATGTCTTTAACTGTGTTTCCCTGTTGCTGTTGAAACTTTTGGCAACACTAGTCTCTGACAACAATCCCAATTCTCCTCCTTAGCCTTCCCCCTTACCCTGTTATTGTTTTGCACATTCAAATAAAGGGGTACGAGTGGCCTAATTCTTTTTAGCTTGAAGGTGTACGGGATAGCCCTTGAAACTGACATTTTTCAGGACCACACTCGAAACCAAGGGGTACAAAAGTTTCCCAGAATACACCAAATACAACCGCAGCATGGCTGAACACGAAAGTCAGGAGATGCAGAAATTTTTTATTTTTTATTTTTTGTCATCATTACGAATTTTTTAAATAAACAAGGAAATCAATAATCCCTTATAATAAATCCTGTATAGCAGTCCCACAACATATCCGACAAACTTTCACATCCGACTCTCGATGACAGTCGAATACCCTGTCAGAAAAGTCTGGTGGCTGGGAATGACCTTTTTACAGTGTCTGTTATATTGTTAATGTTGTTTTTTGTGTTTACATTGATGGATATGGCCAACACAGTACAGTTACAATCTTTTTGCCACATTAAATCATTATGATAACATAATATATGCCTTCAGTGATTGCTTGAAGATAAATACCAAAAAAGAACTCAACTGGAATAACTACAGCAGTCGTCATCATCTGATCTCATATTAAGATGACATATGTCAATTTTTGCACCCTTTTTTTCCTCACTCAGTTTCAAGAGCCAAGGGAAAGGGGTACAAAAATAGAATTGGGATTGGGCCTCTGTTTTTGTATCTGAACCATGCACTCCCTAGGTGACTGTATAGTTATGCTTTAGAGATGGACACTCATTCCTGTGCTGTTCAATGTGTTTTTTTTTTTCTCTCAGGTGTTGATAACGGGGCCTGCGGACACACCATATGCCAATGGCTGTTTTGAATTTGATGTCTATTTTCCTCAAGACTATCCCAACTCCCCTCCTCTGGTTAATCTGGAGACCACCGGTGGCCACAGTGTCCGCTTCAACCCAAACCTCTACAATGATGGCAAGGTAAGGGTCTCTTCCTGTTGGCTCCTTGTTTGTTTGTTTTTGTGGCAATACAGATGCTAATAACTAGACAGTAGGTTGTTAGTATATGATTAATATTATTATATTTTATTTATGTAATTTTATTTGTGCAGATTTTTCATTTTAGTTTTAGTTATGTGCTAATAATGTAACATATGCGCAAACATTGGCGCAATGTAAAATCTAAAATTGTGTCATATTTTGTTATTTTATATTTTCTGATATTTTATTAAATTAATATTATATATTTTTTAAATATTTAATTTATTTTACAGCCTGTCGTAACTTTAAGTAACTGTTGTACTTTTCTTTAGACTTTTTTTGTTAAAATGTTTGTATACTTTTTGTTTTACTTTGAAACTTTTTATCAATTTAACTTGTATTAAAATTGCCAAATATTGACTACGTTATCTGTCGTCTTAACATATTAGTCAATATGTCAATGTCAATGTTTGACATTGTTTGGTATAATTATTGTGCTATTTCTTGTTTATCCAATCCTTAATAACCAGGTTTGTTTAAGTATCCTAAACACCTGGCATGGACGTCCCGAGGAGAAATGGAACCCGCAAACCTCTAGCTTTCTACAGGTGAGCCAAATCCTCTCAATTTTCTGTTTCTCTCTTTAAAAAAACAGTTTTAAAAAGCTTGTCCCTCAGGCTCATTGTTTAGTACGTTTGTTTACTTCCCATATATATTCAACTGATTATAATTTGTTTTGGGGGATTTGAACCAGTGCAAAAGACCAACCAGGAAAAAAAACACCTCTCATTTCATCACTTTGAGAGAATGTTCAGCCAAATTAACACAACAGCGAAAGAATTGCAACATCCCAATTCTGGATTGTGTCCAATAATGATCTGGCCACATGTGAACCCTTCCTATCCTCCTCCTCTCCATCATACCTCTCTAAATAATAGGTAGAGGAGCCGTTTCCCCCTGTAATATCGATCTGATAAGCCTCTGCTCTTCTCTCTCCTCTTACTCATGTACTGCTGCCAGCAGTTCATAGAAATGTCTCCATTGATTAGTCCTACAGTTAGCGTCCGGTAAATCAATAAATGGAAATCAGGCACAGGGACAGTAGAGATCTGGTCAAAGAAGAGCCACTTGATTCGTGTATCAATTCCTCTATTTGTGTGCCTTTTAGGTGCTGGTGTCGATCCAGTCTCTGATTCTGGTGGCTGAGCCGTACTTCAATGAGCCAGGTTACGAGCGTTCACGGGGCACGCCGAGTGGGACGCAGAGCTCCAGAGAATATGATGGAAACATCCGGCAGGCCACTGTCAAGTGGGCCATGCTGGAACAGATGCGCAATCCTTCACCCTGCTTTAAAGAGGTAAGATGTCAACCATCACAAATACATAGACATTCAAGGCTAAAGTGGTAAGGCTGGCCGATTAATCATTTACATTTGCTCATTTAGCAGATGCTTTTATCCAAAGTGACTTAGAAATGAGGATTAAAGAAGCACTTCGTATCATCAGAGACTAGCAACATGTAAATGCTATGACAAGACTTAGTTTTTTTTCTTCTTCTGATCATACGGAAAGGTAAAAGCATGTTCTACAGTTGGTTTGACAAGCCCATTTACCTATGTGGAGCACACTCAGAAATGCACAGTGTTTTCTGAGAAGAGACTTGTTAAAAGAAGTTGTCTGGTACATATGAAATAAATGTACATAAGAAAAAAATGTTTCACCTACATGTGATTTTACCAAAAATCAGCAAAGCTACGATTGTAATGCGCATCTTGTCAGGGAAGCATGGTGTGATATAGCTGTAAATATCCTATGAAGACCAGAGGAAGTTTTTGGAAACTTTCAAATGCTCACAAAGAAACCTAGAAAAGCCCCTATAGCGGTTGTTAAATAAACAAAAGATTTAACTGCTTTCACTATGAACTGTGAACCATGGCTCGATGTATTAAAGAGCCCTTATTTTGGATAAATAAAGGTCATATTTTGGCTTTGGGGGTCTCCAACAACAGGCTGATATGCATGCAAAGTCAAAAAACACTTTTATTGTCTTATAATATGCATTTATTTTTACCTAATTATCCCCACGACTCCCATATGATTCGTTCAGTAACTTATTTGTTCCCAAACTCTTCCTTTGCGTGATGCTATGCTGCACTAATTGGTCCAATGACCTAGTCTGTTGTGATTGGTTGACTGAGTTCATTGCGAGATGGAGAGAAATGCCCACCATGGCTATGAAGTAGCAGAGTATGTGAGAGCCCAATGCAAGAATGCAATAAATCAATGCAGTTAAACACCAGCATATTACTCTACTCTTAACATTAACCTAAGTAATAACATCGACATACATTCAGTATTTATCCACATAGTGGCAAAAGTTGAACTATTTTGAAAATTGACCACGCCGTGCTTGTGAGGAACAGGTAATTGAGGCCATAGCAAAGACAAGTGGCAGAGGGTTAGGGTTCGGAAACGCATTAAAATCACTAAAGGAAGAAGCACGCATCGCATTTTCAATGTGGTTTTGGACGAAATATGTGAAATTATTTAAATATTTAACCTAAGAGATACATTACAAGTACTGATCTATAATAGGTAATTGATTACAACCTTGGGGACAATTACAACTTAAAACACACAATTAAACACCTAATTTGAAAACAACACAAAACAAGGCAACAATTTAATTACACTTACATGTTATGATCCGGAGGAAGAAGAAACTGGTCCACGTGAACTGTAACAGTTACTGACAAAGTCCCTGTCAAAGTCCCATACATAACAGTCTCTGCTGCTCCTGCCGTTAATAGCAAAAAGCTGGCAAATCCCACATTGCAGCATAGGTTATTGTATCAAAAAAAAAAAAAAAAAAACTAGGTTGGCTATACTGTGGTATTATAAAAATTAACTTTAAATTTAACCCTTTATTCTCAGCACCTGAATCTCCATCTGTCAGTAATCATCATCTTCTTGTCATGACCAGTCCGTGATTCCCCATACTCCACTAGTGTTTGAAGGGAAAGAATTGTTCACATTTTACCAGATTCCGCACTACATATTTGTAATATCCGAACACAACACGATTTACTCATTTGACTCCGAGTCGTTTTAAATCTTCAAATTGCACCTAAACCCTCAGCTGGATGTTTTCATTCACTTTGTGCTGTTACACACTGCATGGAAGATCATTTTCAAAAACCCGTTATAGGGGCTCTTTAAATGCTCTGCCATCTGAATGCACATGCTAGAGGTTTACTACTACCAGATTTAGCTACAAAATGTGCATAAAAATTTGAACACCAACCTTTTTTGTCTCATATTTGCCTTTTTATTTTTCGACCAAAAACTAAAATTCCATTTTTAGGCAGTAGAAAAGTCCCTAAGCACAATACCAGTGTTCAAATGTCAGAAGAGTTAAAGTAGTATTTGCCAGAATAACCCTGGTGGAATAATCACTAAAGCTGTTAATCTGCCCAATCCCAAAACTAGTTGTAATAAGCAAATCCAGATAAACTGAGAATTTGCAGTTGGCCTTAAAATATATTTGTTATATACATTGCCTCTTGGTGATTTATGTCCTCTGTCTCAGCAGGACATTTTGCGTTGTCCTATTTTGCATGCACTTTCCTTTAGTCACATTCAGATAGATAATGTTTCTTCTCCACCCCCTCATCTTCTTCCTTCTTTGTTTTTGATTTCCTTTTGTCCTTGATACGGCCCCCACCAGCAGATAACAATCATGTGAACAGAAAGAGGAGCAGGAGGATGGGCTGCCTGAATCCAAACATAAATTAAGATATTGTGTCATTCAACAAGCAGTAGAAATGATGAAATTGCCTAAAAAATACAAAATAATCTACACCAATTTAGTTACCAAATTTAAACACAATGTCATGATTTTACTACAGGCATGTGTTGAACTGTAGGAATCCGGGTCATGTGTGTGTTTTTTGCTCCTGAAGACACTCACAGACTGTCACGTTCACTGCCCTGCACTACTATTGGCACCAATGATTAATAGAAACCAAGAAGGCTCTAAAAGTTGTCTTTATTGTTTAACCCTTTTGCTCAATAGCATTCCCTTTGAGGAAAAAACATTTGCAAACAGCACAGTTTTATCAAAAACAATTATCTTTTTGTTTTGTTTTGAAACTGTTCAATATGAGGCTTTAGGGTCGTACACAATATAAACCTAATGATTTGCTGTGGTTATTTGGAAAATAAATGTGGAAAATAAAGAGCCTAAAATGTGTGAAATGTAATGTTCTCAGTGCTACTGCGGTCAGCAAGGCAGACCAAATGACATACTGTAACATGCAATGTGATAAAAAACTCACTGATAAACACACTTATTCATAGGCATACACTGGATTGAGCATCATGCAAAATGGCTATTAACATTAATGCGATTACCAGAACATCCAAAACATGCTTTGGGCACAGGTCCACCAAAGTATTTGTGTGCAGCTGAAAATGCAAGCGCTTTTCTAAAAACTTATTCTCCAATTGTCAGTGCATTTAAAAAATGGCTGGAGCTCAGCGCTTCACCTGAAACAAATGCCCTGCACTTCGTTAATGTTGCTGCTGTTTTAAAAAACGTGGCACACTCATTGAAAACAACTGCAAAAACATGCTACCGTTCACCAAAGTATTTGACACACACATGTAGCCTACTGTTCTGTCCCACAAACACACTGATTTAATTAATGTCACAAAGTGAAAATAAAGTGACATTTTGAAATGACAGAAAAACACAAACCGTGGTAAATACTACACACTAAATGAAACATAAACGGCTCGCGAGTAGAATAAACAGCAAATCAGCCAGCAGAGTTTCAATAACAGGCTTTTATTGGTCATTGTTTTGTAAATTGCATGACTTACATACCTGTTAAGTTTCATGCCAGTAATTTGGTGTGCTCTATGATACAGTGAAGTATTGCACACGCAACTACACGCTACACACACTGTAGTTCTGGCAGCGGACACGTGAACTAGGAGAACGTTTTTTTCTCGCTAGTGAACCACATATGACAGTTATAACACACACTTTTCAGAGTTGTGTATCACAAAAACACTCCGTAATCCACTTAACACGCTATTGTAACCCATTTTCGGAGCGCAAATTACGAGTTTTGAATGCTGTTAACGGAACGTCTTGGCATTCTACCAGAAGACGCTGGTCGCTATGGCGCCCTCCCTGCAGCTAATAAAAAGGTCTATAGCAAAAGGGTATTTTCCCACTGCTGGTGACAGATCTGTGTGGTTCGCAAAAAATGTGAACACTGACTAAAAACATATACCGAGTTCCATATAAAAATGGATTTTCTTTGCCTTTGTTTATAACCAATACTATGCTACATTTCTTTTGTTTAATCATTGTTCAAACTAAAGAAAAGATCATGCATTGTGATCTTGATTTTAATAAATAAAAAATGAACATTCAATAGTGACACCACTGGGTTGTCTAAAACTAAACTGTGAATTTTGTGTAATTCATATGAGTAAAATTAGCAAAAAATTAAGAGATGTGTTAAGGCAAAAGATTGAGCTTCATGCTTCAAAATGGGAAGTGAATATAAGAAAATAACACTGAACATACTGAAAATGCCAGTTTTTTCACCATCAGGACAATACTGAAGAGATTTCAGTCAACTAAAAGGGTTATGAATCAGCCTTGAAGAAGATGTTTGTCTGCCTTGTCCCAAAACACTGTTAGGCGGATGATTCCAGTAAACAAAATATCTTCAAGAATCACAGCTGGAGAATTGCAGAAGTTTGTTGGGTCTTGGACTCCAAAAGTCTCCAAAACTACTGTATGATAGTAAAATCTTCTGCTTCACCACAAATAGTTTGAGAAGTTTTCAAGAAAAAACCTCTTCTCTCATTCATAAACAGTCTCTAGTGGCTTCATTTTACTTATTTATTGATTTAAATTTTGTGCTTTGTAAAACAGCTTAAACCAGGCTTTTTTAAGCATGGATGATTAAGAAGCAGAAACCTCCATCACATTTTGGACCACCTCTGACTTTTGACAAAAAAGTAGGCAGGCAAACATGGCTATTGACAGACCACAAGTGATGCACTAGTCATGCATTTCATTACATTTAATGTTAGCCTTTTTAAATAATGTTTTACTTGATAAGATTACAACAATAATGCAAAAATGTCATGATCAGGAAACCTCCTCATTTTGTGTCAGGAAACATCCTGGTTAAACAACGACATTTTCCCCAACCTTCTTTGTTTAAGAACAAGAGTGCCTCTATCACTGGAGCACTATCGCTAGTATCGCTAAAATCAGCAGCTTTTCTTTTAGAAAAACCCAGATCAAACTTCTTGGTGTCACAGGTCACACTGGCATATCTGCCCGTGTCATCTCAGGTCTAGTGTGGGCATCTCTGGTGTTTATGAGTTTGAGGCTTCTCCACCTCGGGCAGTTCTGAGACTGGTACATTACCTCTGCGTCCCACAGTGGACACTAAACCAGCTGTTGCCATGCAACCAGAGCATTGTTCACCGCTATGAAGGGCTGTGGGGCTTTCATTTGGGCAGAACGAAGTCAGGTCAGACATCGACCACTGTAACACAGAGATGCTCATACAGATGAATTATGTATTGCCGCTGAGATATCCGCATAATTATGCAGAATGGATTTAAATCTCATATTGGTGGCTGAATATATGTATATAATAACTAATTGAAATGTTTAGGAACTAATGTGTGTGTGTGGACTCCGTGTGCACCTAATTATAAGGTATTGAGGGCAGATTGAATCATGGAAGCTGTAGGATGAGGGTGTGACTTCTATCGTTCCCTCAAACATTTGCTTTCAGCTGCTGTACGTGAGCTGTGACGCCTGCATGGAGGTTTTGTCAAGCAGAATCTTAAACAGCCTCTCACATTTACCCAACAACGTTTAGAGGCTGTTTCAGAACCTTTTCTGCTTTCTACTCCCTATATAGTCTCATTTTTAATTAACAAAGAGAAATAATTTGTATTGTTTTAATCTTACTTGTTACTTTTTTTGTACATCCAAACAACATTTTCTTGCGTTATCTACACAGATTCACACATTTTTGATTTAATAACCAGCAGGACACGTAGCCATCTCACACACACACACACACACACACACACACACACGTCGAGCCAGTCACGCAGGGTAATAAATGGTGGGGTGTTGACGTCAGGAGAGAACGAGGAGTCACACACACACTCGCTTCTGCACAACAGCCTTGCATTCTGTGCCTACACTCATGTTCATTTTCTTTTAAATGGCATTTCTCCTCCTAAATCCTTTTTCATACCTCTCTAACACGCTTTCCAATACCATTACAGCTGTTCCTGAGGGAACTGAATGAATATGAAACAAACGGCATTCTGGGAAAGGCAGTAACAGTCACATGTCTGGCTGGTGACCTTTGTGTTTCTAAGAGAGAGGGAGAGAGAGAGAGAGAGACAGGTTTCTGAAGGATGGCTGAAGCTGATCTGAGTGCTGAGGTTGAGCTCAGCACCAGCCAGTGATGTGCAGTGCCCGCCGGGGTTTCCATGGCAACATTGGCAAGACCATCGATCACACACATGCACACGCTCGCTCCTGAATCCCTCTCGCCGAAGCAGAAGTTTGATCCGCTCACCGTCTCGCTCTCGCAGGCAGGCTAAAGTGCACATCTTCATCCTAGGAGAGACTGTGTGTTAGTGAAGACCAGGCCAATTATCAGCACTGGTATTAAGCATTTTTTTAGTTGTCAGTATTGGTCATTTTTACAACTAGTTTACCAATATATGTAATTAGTTTGAGAATGAAGCATATTCAGACCCCCTGAAAATTTTCACTCTTGATCTAATACAGCCATGAGTCTGTTGTTGACCGAGTCAAACGTTGGTGAGTCATGAGTCAAACGTTGGTGAACAGCCATTTTTAGGTCTCACCAGAGATGCTCAATTGGGTTTAAGTCAGAGCTCTGACCGGGACATTTAAGAACAGTCACGTTGTTGTGATGGGGTCTGAATACTTTCCCTACCCACTGTTTGTATATACATACAGTTGAAGTCAGAATTATTAGCCCCCATTTATTTTTTTTCCCCAATTTCTGTTTAACGGAGAGATTTTCTCAACACATTTCTAAACATAATAGTTTTAGTATCTCATCTCTAATAACTGAGTTATTTTATCTTTGCCTTGATGACAGTAAATAATATTTTACTAGATATTTTTCAAGACACTTTTGTACAGCTTAAAGTGACATTTAAAGGCTTAACTAGGCAGGTTAGGGTAATTAGGCAAGTTATTTTATACAGTGGTTTATTCTGTAAACTATTGAAAAAATATTAAGCTTTAAGGGACTAATAATAATGACCTTAAAATGGCTTTTAAAAAATGTAAAACTGCTTTTATTCTAGCCAAAATAAAACAAAAGACTTTCTCCAGAAGAAAAAAAATATTATCAGACATACTGTGAAAATTTCCTTGCTCTGTTTAACATAATTTGGGAAAGATTTAAAAAAGAAAGAAAAATCAAAGGTGGGCTAATAATTGTGACTTCAACTGTACATATCATAAGGTTTCATAACATCAAGTTTAAAAAGGATTTTATAAATATAACCCAGACATTGCGTCTTGTGAAAAAATATTTTTTTCTCAACTTTTTTTTCACACTTGTAAGTAAAATATTCAAAAATGTATCTTGTGATAACACTCATTTTTAAATCAATTTAAGAAAATTATGATAAACTCAACTTGTTTTTTTTTTTTTTTTTTGGATTTGGATTTTCTCAAAACAGCAAATTTGTTCTAATAACGTTGCCACTTTCTCAAAACTTTTTTTTTTAAATAGCACATTTATTCTTGTAATACTACAGAAATTATCTGGCCGATCACATGGATTTATACTCGATCGGAATTAGATGTTACCTCCCGATTAGGAATTGAAATATTCTCATTATTTTTTAGCACATTTATAGTTATGCGGTGACAGAGATAGACCTCTCTCTTGACTTAACACAGAAACAGCAGCGCGTGCGCATGACATCACTTTGTTGCAGATGCTATTGATTAAATTCCGATAAAGTAAACACTGAAGCAGCTTTAAGTGGAAAGCACAATTATGTCTGTGGTCTGGAGGTATTATAAAGTTGATGACGTCAACATTGCCATCGCAAACTATGAAATATGTAAACTTAGGATTGTCTGCCGGGTATTTTAAGCTGAGGTACCATTTGTTTTTAGATTTGTTTTTTTAGATTTACTATTGCACTTAAATCCAAAATTTAATCTAGAGTGGTTTGATGTCTTTTACTCTGTCGTTCAGTCCCCTGTCACGCCGAATGACATGTTTAGAAAACATGGAGAGTAGAGATATCTAAAAGACCCATCCAAACACAGAATGAACGTGTGAGTCAGTTTTTGCCTACGAGGAAATGTGTGTTTTGGTAAACTCCAGAGTTCTCCTGTTTTCTGCCTGTGGTCTTTGTTACCGAAAAGGTCACTTAGTTTGCTCATATTAACATGCACAGACAGGCGGTGAATGCTGAATATCTGTGTGGTGCGATCGGTCATCTGGGCTTTATGAATCAAATAGGTCACTGGAGTCTCAATCTGAAGATCAGCAGATTGTTTTGTAGTGCGGCTAAAATTGGATATGAGGTTTGCGTTTGATTTATGAGCTCCACAGGAACTGAAACACAATTCCAAGAACACTGATAGTGTGTTTTTGTGCACTAACCGTTTGTCTCTCTTTCTCTGTGTGTGCGCACAGGTGATCCATCGGCACTTCTATCTGAAGCGAGCGGAGATCATGGCTCAGTGCGAGAGCTGGATCTGTGATATTCAGCAGTACAGCAGCGATAAGAGAGTGGGAAGGACCATGTCTCACCATGCTGCCGCACTAAAGGTGGGTTTTCACACTCTTACAAATGTCAGTTTCCACAATTGGTGAGGAGATTTGGAGGGCAAAACATACATGGTCATAAAATTGTAGTACAGATCTGTCAATTTTCTATTTGTTTTAAGCTCTGAGTATTAAGAACAACACTTAAAGAAGGCCAATTTAGCTGTGTGAATAAACTGGACATGTAGGACGTTTAGGTTTTTGTTAAGGCTAATTCACACCTAACAGATAGATGCCAACAAAAGGTTGGTCATTGTATTTAGAATATTAAGAGAAATAAGGCGATCATGTTCTTGCCACAAACAACAATAAAATTCATCATTTAAAATTAAATGATCTTTCACAGGGCTAAAATGACATATATGTAAAGCTATTTGATCCCTCATCAGATTAAGTTTGTTGCCATTTGTTGGAAAATCATATTATACCGCTCACACATTCCACAATCCAACAAACCCATTCATCTGTGTGGTGTCAGTTGGCCTTTACACTCACAAGCTAAACTTCTCTCCTATCCGGGTCACGGCACCAGATTACAAGTCCACAGCTTTACTAGCCTAATATAGTAATATACTTGAGAATTTAATGTTTAACATGGCTTAACGACATTAACGTGTTCAAACGAATTCATATAATATATTATGTCATACACATTGGTAATATTGTAGGGAATCAGATGGCCAAGATATTTACGTGAAGCTATTTGGTCTCTGGCCAGATTAAGTTTGTTGGCATTTGTTGGAACATCATATCAAGATGCTCAGATGTTCCACAATCCAACAAACGCAGATTTAGCATGATCAGTCGTTTGAAACCAACTCTGATGCTGACAGGGTTAACAAACTCTCATTTGTTTGTTGGCTTTCATCTGTGTGCTGTCAATTGGCCTTTACGCTCACAGGATAAACTTGCCTCCTATCCGGGTCACTGCACCAGATTACTTGTCTACAGCTCTACTAGCCTCCATTATAAGCATACTGTACATGAATGTAAACAGTGAAATATACTTATTTTAATGTTTAATGAGGATTAATGACACTAACACGGTCAAATGGATTCATTCAATATATCCATTTTATCAATGAACACATTGTTAATCTTTTAGGCAATCACATGACCAGATAACACTTGAACATTTGATCATCCAAAAATGAAAATTGTCATCATTTATTCACCCATTACTAAAAGAAAAAACAAAACAAAATATTTTTGAATATAAAATAACTTGAAATATTAAAGAATTGGTAATGTTAAGCATAAATAAATTAATAAATATTAGCATAAAGAAATTTTGGACAGGACAGAATATAAAAAACTGAAATTAATAAATAAATATTTTTGGCTAAGTACATTTTGAACATTAAGCACAAGTGGAAAAAACAAATGAATAAATATTTTGCCTAAAGGACAGAGCATAAAATTAACTAAAATAAATAAATCATTTTAATACAAAGTTTAGAACATTAAGCAAACATAAATAAATAAATAAATATTAGCATAAAGATGTTTTGGAGAGGACAGAACAAGAAATAACATAAATACACATTTTTGACTAAAGAATTGATAACATAAAGAAGACAAATGAATAAATAAATATTAAATAAATATTATGTATTTTTTGCCAGGACAAAACATTAAAAGCTGAAATCAATAAATAAATATTTTTGATTAAAATGTTGAATATTAAGCACAAATGGTGCTTAAATTGGTGCCGTGACCCAATTGGAGTGACATTTTATGTGTATAGAGTTTCCAACATTTCCGTGGCTTAAACTGTAGCTTTATATACATTGTATATTTCACAATTCATATTTTACTGAAAATATATCACTATGGACCCTTTTCAGGGTCTGCTATATGTTTTTTTAAAAACGTAGAAACATTTACATGCATTTATAAACGTATTGTATAATTTTTGCTTCAAATTACAAAAAAATAATTACAGCTTATGTGGGGCATTTCTAATGCAGTGTCTACGGTCTACGGGGCAGGACAGTAAATTTGACATTCTCTCCTCTGGCTCACACCTATTTTTTTCCTTTTTTTTGAATGTCTTTATAACATCATCGTGGAGTTTTTCTTTTATTTCAGCAAATATGACTTTAAAAAAGTTGTTTTACTCTTCAATTCACTGCGCTCAGTTTTCCCAACTATGACGACTTCCTCTACTGAGAATCCTGAAAATGTGAAAAGGCTCTTTCTTACTATGTTAGTACTTAATACAAACCTGAAAATGATTTGAGGCCAATGTAGGTAAGCCTTGTTTTGCCCTCCAGATGGGCTTTCTTTAAATGAGTTGTGTTCTTGACTGATTTGATGTGTTTTTGCAGAGGCACACGGCTCAGCTCAGAGAGGAGTTGTTGAAACTTCCCTGTCCTGAAGGCCTGGAGCCGGACGGGGAGGAGTTTTCTGAGAAAAGCACCTCGCTCATGGTGAAAGAGCTGCCCAGTCAGGACACAGAGAAGCAGACGGACAGTCCAGACGCCCACTGTAGCGATGGCCAGCTATGATCCCGCCCTCCCCCCCCTGAAGCCCCGCCCACCGCCTTTGACTATCCATTGATATTAAAACAAAGACTGGATGGCTTCGGTGATTAAGCCATCTTTTTGTCAATATTTGTATGTAAGAATCTAATTATGTAATGGCATAAAAAGAGAGGACAGACGAAACAGAAAAATACGAGGAATTGAATCCGCTTACATCCATGACAACACGAGACAAACCGCTAAACGCCCAGAAGAAAACAAAGGAGACGAGAAAAGATCTTTTTATTTACTTGTAAAAGTATCAACTTTTTTGTGCTTTTTTTTTTCTTTATCTTCCCAAATTGTGAAATAACCACTGATTGATATGTTATTAAACTTGTTTATGTAAACAGAATGAAAGATGAAATCACATTATATATAAGGGAACTGCCTTTAGTGGAGAATGTTTACCAAATGTTCATTTCTATCTTTTTTTTTTTTTTTGTTTGTTTCTTTTGGACTGTTAGTGCAAGGACAGTTTGTAAGTGAGAATATACTGGTCATTCTTTAAGTGAATTATTTAAAAGAAAAACGTAACAAACACGCGCCCGTAAATACCGACTCTTGAGTTCCCACAATCCTCTGGTGACCCTCTGACAGTGCTTTTGGTTTCTACAGACTTATGTACACTTCAATAATAAAGCCTGAAACAGATGTTCACTGGATGCTCTTGTTCAGGCTGATCAATAGCACGTTTTATTTTTGCCCTCTCTCTGCTTTTAAGTGCAAGTTTAATAAATGCAACCTGTTTTACTTTGCTTGGAAATACTAATTTAATGTGAGTCTGTAGAATGACATTTGTGTGCTCGCTTAGTTCTACTGTGCATCCAGAAAGTATTCATAGCGCTTCACTTTTTCCACATTTTTTTATGTTACAGCCTTATTCTAAAACGGATTAAACAATTGTATTTCCTCAAAATTCTACACACAATACCCCATAATGACAATGTGAAAAAATAGTTTTTAAAATTGTTGCAAATTTATTCAAAATAAAAAACCTGAAGCATCACATCTACATAAGTATTCACCACGTTTGTTCAATACTTTGTTGATGCACCTTTGGCAGCAATTACAGCCTCAAGTCTTTATGAATTTGATGCCACAAGCTTGGTACACCTGTCTTTGGGAATTTTTGCCCATTCCTCTTTGCAGTACTTCTCAAGCTCTATCAGGTTTAATGGGAAGCAACGATGTACAGTCATTTTCAGATCTCTCCAGAGATGTTCAAAAGGATTTAGGTCTGGGCTCTGGCTGGGCCACTTAAGGACTTTTACTGGGTTCTTGTGAAGCCACTCCATTGATATTTTGGTCATTGTCCTGCTGGAAGGTGAATCATCGCCCCAGTCTGAGGTCAAGAGCACTCTTAAGTAGGTTTTCATTCAGGATGTCTCTGTACATTGCTGCATTCATCTTTCCCTCTATCCTGACTAGTCTTCCAGTTCCTGCTGCTGAAAAACATCCCCACGGCATGATGCTGCCGCCAATGCTTCACTGCAGGGATGGTATTAGCCTGGTGATGAGTGCTGCCTGTTTTTTTCCAAATGTTCATTCACTCCAAAGAGTTCAATTTTAGTCTCATCAGACCAGAGAATTTAGTTTCTTATGGTTTGAGAGTCCTTCAGATGCCTTTTGGCAAATTCCAGGCAGGGAGAGGCTTCCGTCTGGCCACTCTACCATACAGGCCTGATAGGTGGATTGCTGCGCAGATGGTTGTCCTTCTGTAAGGTTCTCCTCTCTCCACAGAACAGCACTGGAGCTCAGACAGAGGGACCATTGGGTAATTGATCACCTCTCTGACTAAAGCCATTCACCCCCGATCACTCGGCTTGGATGACTGGCCAGCTCTAGGAAGGGTCCTGGTGGTTCCAAACATCTTCCACTTATGAATGATGAATTTACCACTGGTGAACTAAGCCAACTAAGCTGCTAAAACATATCAGGAATGATCAGTGGAAACTGTGAATACTTATGTAGATGTGATTTTTATTTTTTTTCACATTGTCATTACTCTGGTGTTGTGTGTAGAATTGTGAGGAAATTAAGCAATTTTGAAATAAGGCTGTAACATAAAATATGTTGAAAAAGCGAGGCGCTATGAATACTTTCTGGATGCACTGTACAGTATCTATACTGAACGGTAGGGTACAGTGTAGTACAGTACAGTTAGAGGTCTCCCTAATCATTCTTGCATTTCTACTGCCAACTGTATCCTTGGAGTGCATACTGTATGACAAAATGTTGCAATTAATGTCAATTTTGCTCGAAGAAGTCAAGTTCATTATTTGAAATGTAGACAAGCTGCAAGTGCACGCAAATTACATTGTCATATCTCAGCTGTGTATTTAAACAGTGATTTCTGAGTTGCCGTTCTTCTGGTACAAGTGCTAATTCTCTGTACACCAGTAGCATTCAGCAGCAGGTCTAGCTCCAACTTTTGGTACTGTACTGCTGTGCTAGATATGCTTATGAAAGGGTTCCATAAATCTGGTAAGGCACGGTTATGGGTATTTCTGACATTGGATATGGAAATGAATCCGTATTGTACTTTACTGACCCTTACCGCTCAATGGAAACGAGACATTGATACTGTTGATGATGGAAACTGAATTTATTTTACAAATCCATTATTAGCCAAGTCAAGATTTAAATTAACCTATTTAGACCAAGTTAAACTGAATTGTTGATGGAAAATTAAAACATCTTTGGCCCTTTTTCTACCATATTTGAGATAAAGCATTGTGCAAAGTGCAGTTATTTCGGTTTAATCTGATCCCTTTAGTTCTGAAGTTCCTCCTCACACACACACACACACACACCTTCGATGAATAAATAAAAAAGGATTCAGTGTTAAGGCTGGAATCACGTTTTTGTTTTGAGATGATCTAAAATGGATCTTCAATTTTTCATAAAATCGATAAAAGTTGGGATCTCTCACAAGCCCCAAGAAAGCGAATAAAAACAAGAAAACTGATGCATGCTGAAATCTTCTGGTCTAAATCTCAGCGTTCTACACGAGATATCGATCAGTCTCTGAGCGTTTCTCGTCTTCAGAGTGGCAGGAATCCCACTGAGAAACACGCAGGAGAGTGTGAGTGTGAGCGCAGCGGTCCATCCATTATTGATCGAGTGTATTTAAACCCTGAGCGTGATTGTGATCCCGCGAGCTGAGCAGTCGTGGCGTGACGTGAGCGTGGATTTGAACACGTTTACACGCTCTGGGCTATTAATGGATCCTCCCCATTTGGCTGTAATTGCAAGGTCATGATGTTTTTTCTTTCTTTCTGGAAGCCGTTTACGTGAGTAACGGGCCTCCGTCTGTTCACTCTCTACTGATTTATCATGACGGCGTGAAGCACGTTTCAGCGTTTTCCTGAATCCTGCTTTGATGATTTGATCATAAAAGTGTAGATGAAGCAGAGCTGTTGTTCTCGGAGCGAGTGTCCATCTTATAAACTAGCGCGCAGTCTTGGGTTTGTGTTTGGTGTGCGGGTTCACAGGTAATATAACAGCTGTGACATTTACTCTAATTAGGCTTGTCCTTTAAGACTCCGTGCTTTGTGCATGTGTGTGTGTGCGCTTGGAGTGTGTGTTTATTTGTGTCATTGCCATGCACTTCTGTTAATAAGGGATTTATTGCTTGTAATTGGGTGTTAGAGAGGTTTAAAGACTTAATCGTGATTAGACTAGAATAATGTTGAAAACGGAATGAGTGGAAAAAATCTGATTATTTCAGAAACTGGCTATGGGGAAAAAAATAAATAGTCTGTTTGGAGGAAAATAAATCTTTTTGTTAATATCTTTAAGGCAATGGTTCTCAAACTTTTTTTACCCAGGACCACCTCAGAAAAAAATGTCTCTCCAAGTACCACCATAATACATATTAGGCCTAATTAAGCTGCTACAGCTCTGCGCAGTTCACAAACGTGCCAGATTAATTCTTTATATTAGGCATATTAATTATTGTCAGCCACTACATAATAAATAGTTTGAACAATTACACACAGGCAGATGGAGGAAATTTGACCAGGACACCGGGGTTACACCCCCACTCTTTACGAGAAGTGCCATGGTATTTTTAATAACCACAGTGAGTCAGGACCTTGGTTTATCGTCTCATCCGAAAGACGGCACCCACTGACAGTGTAGTGTCCCCTTTCACTTTACTGGGGCATTAGGACTCACAAAAACCACAGGTTAAGCGCCAGCTGCAAATCTCACTAACACCACTTCCAAAAGAAACCTAGTTTTCCCATGTGGTCTCCCATTCAGGTAAATTTCCTCCATCTGCCCTTACTCGTCATGTCCTTTCAATCATCCTCATCCACCGAATTAGCTCTCGCTGTCTCTCCACTCCGCCAATAGCTGGTGTGTGGTGAGCGCACTGGCACAGTTGTCGTGTGGTCGCTGTTGCATCATCCAAGTGAATGCTGCAGACTTGTGGTGTGGAGAGACCCCCCTCATGATTGTGAAGCGCTTTGGGTGTATGGCCATAAATCTGCTATATAAATACACATTACATTTAATCAAGGACGATAAAACAGTTATCTAAAAGAGATTAAACTTGATTGCAATTATATAATGAAATACGTTTTCTTTCTAATAAAAGACACATTAGTAAAAGTTAGATTGATCAGAATAATTAAAAAGTTTGTTGGATATCAAAATCTTAAAATAGATCTTTCTTTTGTTAGGTATGCAGAATGTTTCAAATAATAATGATAATCACGCTCTCCTCCATTTATAAGATATTAGGTTTGTCAGATTTCTCCCTGGCAGTGATGTCACAGCCCAAACATCAGCGTCAGAAGCTCAAAAATGTTAGCAGGCAATCTGTCAGAAGCTGTTGTATGTCTTCACTTCTTTACCTGCTAATGGAGACCTTTTCCTGATCAACTTCTTAAGACAAGAAAGCGTTGGAGTGTATATAATATACTACTGAGTGTAAATAAAATATTACCCATTGCTCCTGAAGTGCACTCTCTAGCTGGATGCGTGTCCAAAAGACTATTGGGAGCAGGTAGTTTTGATGTTTTACTCTTATGTCCCAGTGTTAAATGAATAAATTGCTAGAACGTAGATGAAGGTTTTTTTAAAAGCCTCTTTTTTTTACTGTTAGGCGATAAAACAAATCTAAGAAATGTGTTTACATGATATTTCACATATCAGCTTGTAAAGCATAAATGGCGTACGAATGTGCTTGAAAATGCACAGAGAATGCTGCATTTCAATATTTAAACTTCAATGCCTGTTCATTCGCTTGTTACCAAATATCTTAGTCAGTCATAAAGCAGCAACTCAGCACATAGAGTAGTCAAACGTGGTCAAGATGATCTATTTAAGTTCAAACCGACCATCAGATTGGAGATGAAAGCTGATATCAGTTACTTTGAACGTGGCATGATTGCTGGTGCTAGGCGAGCTGTTCTGAGAATTTCAGAGACTGCTGATCTACTGGGATTTTCACAGACAACCATCTCTGGTTTTAAGAGGGAAAAAAAAAGGAGGGAAAAGGAAAATGATCTTGTGAGTGGCAGTTCTGTGGACAGAAATGTCTTGTTACTAGGTTTTGCAGCATTATTAGGACATTGATATGGGGTTTCTGAGGGATCTGGGTTGACGCAAGAGTGTTTCTATAGAATGTACATCTTTACAGTTGAAGTCAGAATTATTAGCCCGCCTTTGATGTTTCTTTCTTTTTTAAATATTTCCCAAATGATGTTTAACAGATTAAGGAAATTTTCACAGTGTGTCTGATAAT